TCACTTACTACTTGTTGTTGGCTTGTCATGATGACGGCTGTAGCAGTAGTGTCGAACTGTGGTCTACCAGCCCTGCCAATCATTTGCAAAACAGTGCTCGAGGAATATGGTCTACGCACTCCAGCACCACTATACTGCGTCGTACCTTTAACAATAACCAAATGAGCTGGCAAATTCACTCCCATTGCTGAAAATTTAAAAAAAAAAATGATGAAACCATGAGACTAAAACATAATTAATATTTATATTATGATCTTTAAAAAACAGTATTTAAAATAACTATCATAAAGATAACTGAGATTACCTAATGAATTTGTAGCAACTAATATTGGGAGATCTCCATTTCTAAACAGTTCTTCAATGGCCTTTCTGTCTTGAATTGCCATTCCAGCGTGGTGATATGCAACACCAGATGGTAGTATTTGACGCAGGTTATTGTCGAGAATTCTAATGCAAAAATGATTAAATTAGTAGTAAAATAATGGAGCAAAGATATTCGAAAATGTCCATATTAAAACCACCCTAATATATATTTATGAAGTGTTTATAAAGTTGTACTTACTTGGAACCTGTTTGCATTATAATTTGTAATTGCTCATTTGTAAATTTCACGGTCATCAATTTTTGTAAGGCTGACGCAGTCAGTTTAGCCCATTTCTAGTGCTTACAAAAATCTGACAAAATTAAATTATTGTATGGTTTACCAATTAAAATTAAAAAATTAGCTTCTTAAAGCAATCAAATCAGATTTTCTAATATATGTAAGTATATTTTTTATACTACCTAAATAGTACATTAGCATTTAATAATGATAGTTGTTCCCAATAATAATTTATACTATTTAATTATCTAATATTATATAATCATGATTGTCAGTTTCAATATTTTGACAAAGTCATATCAAAATTTAAGTTTTAAATTTTTAGTTTAATTAACTCAATGTTCAGAACGCTAAATTATTGGTGTTATTGTTATGTATCAAAAACAACTTATTTGAAATGCACACACAAGCAGTTTGGACCCTTCGTCCTGAAAGTTGGAAATCTGATTGTATTATCGGCAGAAATTATGGATCGAATAACTCAACAACAGCATGCGGCTCTGTTTTTCATAGCCGCCAAGTTTTATTGGCCGATGGATCTATTAATGATGCAGGAATTGTTGTAAACTCCATGGGAAAAATTTTCGAAATCATACCGGGAAAAGATGCAGAAAATTATGCAAAAATGAAAAAGTTAAATTACGAAAATTTTGGATCAAGGACAATCTGGCCAGGAATTGTAGATACCCATGTTCATATGGGTGAACCAGGAACAGAATGGGAAGGTTTTGAAAGGGCAACGAAAGCTGCTGCTTGGGGTGGTGTAACCACTATTGTCGACATGCCAATGGGTTCCATACCGCCGACGACAACAGTCGAAAACTTTAAGGCGAAACTAAAGGCTGGCATTGGTAAAACTTACGTAGACGTCGCATTTTGGGGTGGAATAGTCCCAGATAACTCAGAACATTTGCTGGATTTACTTAAAGCAGGTGTTCGAGGTTTCAAATGTTTTCTTATACAAAGTGGCGACCGTGCTTTTCCAAACGTCACTAAAGATGATTTAGAAACAGCATTGGATATTCTTAAAAAAACTAAATCCGTCATACTTTATCACGCTGAACTTCCAGATGATGGAACTAAATGCAGAAAATCTGGAATAAATCCAGAAAAATATACAACATATCTAAAAGCACGCCCGCAGAACATGGAAATTAATGCTGTTAAATTAATTATCGATTAGCAGAAAAATTCAATGTAAGATCTCTCATAGCGCACGTCTCTTCAGCAAATTGTTTTCGAAAATTAAAAGCGAATAAATGTAAAGGGCTTCCAATAACCGTTGAAACATGTCCTCATTATCTGACGTTTTCGTCTGAAAATATTAAAGACGGACAAACGGAATATAAATGTGCGCCGCCGATTCGAAATCAAAATAATCAAGATGCCCTTTGGGAAGCAGTGAAACAAGGAGATATTCACACAATCGCTTCCGATCATGAGCCGAGCGTAGGGATTCTCAGAGGCAAATGTCCTGATTGCAAACCCGACTTTCTAAATGCAAAAGGTGGTATAGTAGGCTTACAATTTCTTCTATCAGCGCTTTGGACAAAAGCGTTGGAAAAAAATATTCCAATGGCTACAATTTCAAAATTATTAAGCGAAAACCCAGCGAAGTTGGCAAATTTAAATTGTAAAGGTTCAATAGCAGTTGGAAAAGATGCGGATCTGATAGTGTGGGATCCCGACCGCAAATTCGAAGTGAAGAAGGATATAATTATTCATAAAGACAAACACACTCCGTATTTGGGTATGACATTAAAAGGTAAAGTGACCACAACTGTGCTACGTGGACAAATTATTTATAGAGCTGGCGAAAGTGTTATAGGTCCTTGTGGCAAATATCTATTAGAATCTTATTGTTGATATTACTTTTCTAATTCTTTGTAATGAAATAATTAAGTATGATTTTAAGAATAAAATATAAATTTCAAAAAATATAGGCAAATAATCATTTAATAATTCAGTTTGAAAATATATGTAATATAATATGACTAATGTAAGATAAATTTAAATTTATTTCTACTCACCAAAGTTGGTTTCCCAGCAGAATACTTTCCAATAATTGGCATCAATCTATAGCTTAATGTTATTTCAAATTTGAACGAACTTTTCTCATTAGAACAGTGATACCCAATTACGATACGATTTAATTTTACAGGCCTCATAGTCTCGTCTAATCTTTAAACAATATGAAAGAATTTGCCGATTGTTAGAATTCAAAATAATTAAAAAAAAGAAAACAAGATTAATATTATATATTATAATTACTTGTAAAAATTTTGCAGGCTTTCCTTTATCACCAAGCCACATAGCTATATCTTCGACATTAGGCATAGTTGCAGAAATAGCAACAAAACGCATATCTTGTTGAACTTCATTGTCATTTAAAGGAACTCTATGCTTATCATTTGAAGCTTTAATTCGTTCTAGAGTATTTTGCTGCTGCATGAGCTCTCGAATAGTTTTCATTCTACTCACAACTGCCTCCAATGTAGCCCCACGTTTTTCTTCATTTAGCAACTGAACCTGACAAAATATTTAATGTTTATTATTCAAGTATCTGTATTGGAGCAAACATAATAATATGCATAATGGCCCTATAAATTTATGAATATCTTACCTCATCAATAAGGACCAATTTGATAACTTTCACAATATCAGTGTTATTTTTCCATCGTCTTGTTATTGAATCCCATTTTTCTGGAGTTGAGATTATTATATGAAAACCTGCCAAATGGCTAAATTCAAAATTTTCATTGTCTCCTGTAACCTCAATAAGAGATAATCCTAAACGAGAAAATTTGAAATACCAGTCCCGAAGACGTTCAGTGCATAAGGCTTTCATGGGAGCCACTAAAATTGTACATTTCAACAATTAAATATATATAAAACAATATGTACTGAAAATAATAGATTAATAGAAAAATGTGAAATATAAAACCTAGTATAAAAATTGATTCAAATTGTAAATATTAACATTCATAAAGCTATAATCAGATTTGAACTGAGGCTGACTAATCAATATTTCAAACAAAATATGCGACTTTTAAATAAAAATTTGTAAAAATAAAACTTACAGTATAACATTTTAAAATCTCCATTGTACGCTATGTCTTCTAAATGCAGCAAATATTGAACTATTGCTAATTCAAAAATAACGGTTTTGCCAGATCCAGTAGGAGAAGAAACTACCAAATTTTCATCTGAAAAGAAAGATTTTTTAAATCAGTTTTAATGACATTTTGTGCCAAAATTAAGGAAAAATATGGTTTCACTAAATTTTATAGGTTATTTCTGCAACTTCAAAGACAATAGAAGCAACAAAATATTCGAATTGTGATTTATTTTGATGTACAAAAGTATTATATTGTTGAATTAATTATAATTATTATAACATATACATACTGCCATACAATGCATCATCCATTATCTTCGATTGAACAATATTGAAGCATGAAAATTCTGAAAATATATGACGATATTTTGTAGCTAACAAATCTTCATTAAGGAAAAGACAAGAAAAACGACACAAAAAGCTTATGGTAATATTTTGATATTATTTCTGTAAGGATACGGATTTCCTCAATTGATCTGTTTTCTCCAACACATTTAAAATATTTTGGTGGCCTTTCACATTTAGAATTTAATGCAAAGCCAACACTGTCAGATTGGATACTGCCAAAAGACATAGATAAAGAATCATTATAATCACTCTGCTCCTCCAGTCCAACTAAATCATCTACCAAATCCATTTTGACAAAAATACGAAGATCTATTTTTATAAATCATTTATTCAACACAATTTCATGTTACAAATTTCTAAACACCAATCAGAAATAAAAACGCCATTTTGAAATGGTTAAATTAAAAGTACACTGGGCTAACTTCAGTTCTAATGCAAAAATATTGCCATTCATTGAACAAATAATTCCAACATTAGTACATATAGTTTAAGAGCCTCATTTCCACATTTCACTAAAGGAGACCGTAAAATATATTTCTCAAAGTTTTATGAAAATTATATTACTTTTATATAAAATCAAATAAATACTAATTTAAAATAAATTTATGACTCTTGGACAGCATCTTCAATTGCTTCCTCAGCAACACTTGCATTAACAGGATTTGAACTTTCATTTAACATTTCCTGAAATAAGAGTGCTTTAGAATTTAAATTCTCATAAAAATCATTCATCACAAAAATATTCAAAGATAGTAAAACTTTTTAAGACATTTACAGAACATCACATACTATAGTAAAAGTAATTATTTTCATTTCTAAAGAAATGATTATGTTAGTTTTGAATAATTTTATATGTAAAGTTAAAACTTTTTAAATTTGAAATAGTTATTACAGATGTTATGAAGACAATTAAACTTACTGTCATATCTATCTCATATAAAAAAATTCTCAGCACATTCTTTTTGTTAAGTAAAACTAAGATTATACATTGGTAATAAACTAATAAATAAAATAGCTATTTCTTAAACTTACAGTTAGCACTTCAATTAGCGACCTGGATTCATCTAGCATGTCTTTTATACTTTTGTTTTCTTCAACTAAATCAGCAATTTGTCCATGTAATAATTCATTTTCTTCCAAAGTTTTGTCCAGAGCCTCCCGCCTTCTTTCAGCTATTACCTAAACATGCAAAAAATTAATCGAATAACAGTACACATACACATATTACATATATGAATATATATATTTATTGCAATGATGAAATACATTTTATTCTCAAAATTGTATGATTTAAAATATTATATTTCAATAAATAATATGTATAAGTGTAATCGTACCTGCCAATAATGTTCACTAGAAGGCGCATCAGATGTCAAATCATCGGCTGTGATAGAAGAGGCAGCATCTGCCTGAACTCCTTTACTTGTGGTTGCAATCTTCTTTCGTTTCAAATCATTTTTATCAATAAAGTCACTAAAAACAACAAATATAATTTATGTACACAATATAATAAAATCACTATATTTTAACATTAATAATTTATTATTGAAATTATAATGTATTGAACATAAATACGGTTGCTCGTTTAATAAAAATGTTATAGATTTAAAAGTTTTCACATGCAACTTAATCTAAAGCCAAATTGTTAAGCCTCACATCATTTATATATTTGATTCAACAAAGAGAAGTTATTAGTTACATAAATATTATACTTACATATGCACTTTGTTTGATGATTCTTTAGTAGCACAAATTTTGCTTGTAGGCCTTCCAGCCAAATTTTCTTTGTCAGTTGCTGCTTGCTGAAGAACTTTGAAAGTTTTACGTGTATTCAACAGATTTTCCTATAAATGCAAAAGAATAATTTAAATTTAAAAGGTATTATTTACAATAAGTAATAAACTAAAATCCTGAAATGTATAATAAACATTAAATTTTAACTAATCATTTTAAAACACACCTGTTGCTCCATCGATGCGAATTTTATCGTAGCGTTATTTGCCATGATTCAAAAACTAAGAATCAATTAAAAAATGTAAATTACAAGTTACAAGTATCACTTAAGAACACTAGTCAACGAAAACATTTATTGTCAGGACTAAAACTAACCAAAAGCTAAATCCCGCTTTCCAAGTACCCGAAAACAAATACGCGAAGACAATAACATCGATATGACAGCCATAGATACAAGAAAGAGAGATGACAGCTAACTATGGATTCATGGGTGCCACCACATAAATAGAGTGAACACGCCGCGATACCAACCTCAGAAATATGCAAAGTTTTTGCCGTTGATGAAATATTCAAAGATCTATCCACGGATTTTTCAATAAAGTTTTTGTCGTTTTATTTTTATGAAATATTCAAAGATATCTATCAACATAGATAAGTGAACATAAATCTATCAATCCATTGTTGACGAAATGTTTACTACTAACCATAAATAAACAGAAATGCTACCAACTGAACTTTTAAAATTATGCTACATATTTTTGAAAAGATGTTTATTTGTTTACTTTATGCGCACTAACTTTAAACAATTATAGTTTTTTTTATTTTTATAATTGATTTATCTACTTGGCTGTAAAGTTATATTTTTTTAATAATATTTTTACTTATTTTTCATATAACTCGGAACAACAACAACTTCATGCCATTGTGAAAAAGATCAAAGCAGAACCAAATCCGTTTCAATACTTTTACAATTTTGAACTGTAGTTTGTGAAATAATCTTATTGTTAATGTAAACAACTGTTATAAAAATGAATAACAAAATAGATCAATATTTAATTAATAGGAATCATAAACATATTTCAGGTATAAATGGAAACTAAAATTTTAAAACCAAATAAATCTTTAAGTTGGTTTGGGGTTATTTTTTTCTTACAGGTACCTACCAACGAACACCGCAAAGTTTGACATACCCCAATTCATATTTATCGAATAGCAGGTACATTATTTTTCAATTACAAAAATTAATAACTGTACCCCTGTGCATTATTATTTTATAAATAAAATTATGTTACTCTAGCAATGTCACATCAAATTCTGGCAATCAAATTCTTAGATCTAATGTACCTTATCAGTCTCATCAGTCTAATTCCAATGTTGGTTTTATAAGGCAGGTAAATATGAGTTTTTGATAAGCAAGTATTGCTGATATGAATGCAAAAAAGTTAAAATAATTATTTTCATTCTATCATTTCTGATATGCATTGTATATTTTATTAATTTATTTATGGCTTTTAATCTTTCGATCATTTCTCCACGTACTGCATTGTATATTATTTCATTATCTTAATACATTAATTATCACTATAATACATACACAGCAGTTTCCTGGAATTAGTCAAGAAAGGTTCTTTCCTCATCAATCTCTTCCTGAAAACATCAACCACATTCAACCTCAGCAAGCTAGGAATAAAAATTTCATTGCCGTACCGTCTGGCTCCCAATATAATACTCCAACTTCTGCACATGAATCTCAATATAACTTACAAGCTTCCGAAAAACAGTTATGTCAAGGAGACAATTATTACATACAAGTATCTAGGTAAATACTTCTATAAAACTTATGTAAATGTAAAGGAGTGAATTTCTGATTTATTTCTACTTACGTATCTTTTTTTTACGACTGTAAATATTACCTACTAATTTCTCAAAACATTGACATACTTAAATGTAGCTAATAGAATTCTTGCTACTTACCAGCCAAAAAACTATGCTACAACAAACAGCAATGCAAGTCCCGATTCAAATTCCAGTTAATCGATCTCCTAATATTGGCTATGGATTACCAAAACCACAAGTTAATTTGCAAGCCGAGTATTCTATAGATACAGGTATTAAATATTTGAACATATCATTATTGATTAGTATTGCCATAATGCTGATACAATCAAAACGTTTATTTTAGCATGCAAATTTTCTAGCCCTATGATGAGTAATTCTTTAATCAAAACTGAACCAGGTTCTAGAATACCAATTTCATACAAACAAGATAATGAAGAAACAATGAACGTATATGAACTTGATCAAAATAAAGTAAGATAAATATAACTCATATCTTTGTCTTTATATATATATATATATATATATATATAATATATATATATATATATATATATATATATAAAAATATAAATATTTGCTATTTGAAGATCATCAATAAAGCTAGAAAATCAACGATAGTACCAACTGCTGCCCTAGTGAATGCTATTAATTTACACAAGAATCATCCAAATCTTGATGCTCTATTTGAAATTTATGGTATGCCATTTTTTTTTAAATCTTACGATCAATGAAATAAATCAGAAATATGCACCTAAAAAGTTCTGCAATTTCTTCCTATCCTCAGTACTTTTCGCTATAATTCAACAGAACATATTACACAATTACAAAGGGACTTTGTCAGTTATATTAGACTGATATTTCATAATATAATATAATATTCCATAGTTAATAACATAATTTTTTCACAATATCGAAAAACAATATCAAAAATATAGTAAGATAGATAAACATGTTTTAGGTTCATGTGTTAATATTCGTGCTGGTAGACAATGGTGTCAAAAAATAATTCTATTGCGGGATTATACAGGACCTGTTATGCAGGTTAGTATATATATACAGTTATACATATATGAGTTTATATTTAAGCCTGATAATAATAAATGATTAATTTATATTTATAAGGTTTAAATCTATAAGAACGTTTAATTTGATTTCAGGTCTCTTTCTATGAAGTTGATACAGTTTTAGATGAGGATATTTTGCCTGGTGATTCTCTAAGGGTCATGGGTAAAATGTCATCGCACAATTTTTTACAAGCTTACAAAATAAGGAAAACTAAACTTGATGAGTTACAAGCTGTTTCACGTTTATATGGAGTCAGTCTATTTAATATCAAGAAGATGTATAAAAACAATGAATAACTTCTGTAATCATATTATTCATTAAGTCAATCTTCTTATAATTTAATAACGACTAATAAGGTTTTTTCGTGCAGCAGTTACTTATCCATGCTAATTATTTATAGCTACATTTATATGAACTGCATTAATGATTTTATTTTTAATATATAGTAATCCTCTTAATAAACTCTTTAATATAATATAAACATAGTTTGTTCAATTAATTGAAAAATGCGTTCGTATTAAAGGATTCTGATAATAAAAATACCTAAAATACTGACTCGAGAAACTTTACAGTTCTGATTTTTATAACTGATACTCTAACAATGAAACTAATAAATAGAATTAAACACAAAAAATGTTTTTAATATATGTATCTATGTACAAAAATTTATTCATTAAATATATACACACAATTTTATTTATTATAAACTGCGTATAGTACTTTGCAAAATGATGAAAATTAATAAATTATTAAAGGTTGATGGTTATAATATGCATAAAAAGGTTATAAATCTAACAAATCTTATTTAACTATTCCGATACTTAAACATATTTCTAACATTTGAGAATTACTTAATTTGTAACTTGCGAATTTAACAAATTAAATTTTTACACATTGGTTTAACGTCCTAAGAATAATTATATATTCTGCTGTATTTATATGATAAAATGCATTAATTTTGACACTACGTACTTAAAAACTAAACATTAATCAATCAATTGTATAATTTACTGGTATATAGTTTATGAAAATATGTGATAGTCACAATCACAATCAACAATAAACAATATGTTGCGTTTCCAGTTTCGGTTACAGTGTATCACTTACATCAGTGTTTGAAACAGCGTTCATTAGAAATTGCACATCGCAGCATTATTTGCGATTGAACCAAGGAAAATGCCATAGCAATCAACACCAGGCCTACCAGTAAATATCCGCAACAAGCTACGAGCTGGAGCTGGTTGCCATTCAACGAACGCAACGGCAAAATATCGCCGAAACCTGAAATATTAATTCAAGTAAGAGGATCTTTATGTTTATTGAACTGTGAGATGTAGATATAAAGTTATTATATAGTTTTTGTTATATCATACCAATTGTAGTTAGTGTCACGAAGCAGAAGTATGCACCATCCAGCAGAGACCAGTCTTCCCAAAGAGAAAAAATGCACGCTCCAAGAGCTATGTAAAAGGCAAGAACTAAAGCAATAACCGCCAACGGCACCAGGCTGTTCAGAGAAGAACTTGTAACCCTGCTGCTTTGGCTAACAATATTATTTGAAATGGTTCTATTTGCATCATGGCTGGTGACAATGGTTGAACGGCATATCAACGGAACGCGCGATGGTGTGTCGTGCGAACAGGATCTAAAAAAAATAATAATGACTCATGGGATTCATAATAATGCGTAAGATAAATGATTAAAAATAATATTTTATTTCTATATAGTTATATTATACTTACGAAATATTATTATCGTCATCATCTTCATCACTTTGCATAAGTTCTTTAGACACATTACACTTTATATTGTTTGCATTTGAAATTCCATGTTGAATTCTATGTTCTGCAATAAGTTGAGTAATTTCGGGTGGTCTTGGTCCTCTTCGCACGGTTGCTAATTTTATATTAGATCTTTGTAGTTGTTCTGAAGGATTAGCTTTTTTGCACTTTGATTGATAGGAGGTTTGACAAACTTGTAAAGAATGAATTCTATCTTCGGAGCACATTCCCATTTTATATTCTAAAGTAAAAAAAATAATTAGAATTTACCAGGTTCGTTGTAATTGTGTAACAGTTATCCTTTTATATGTTCTTTTAGAATATAAATGACATCATTAATATCTAATCAAATTCAAATAGAATAACCAATTGAAATTTACGAGATTAATCGTAGCTGTGTAACAACTTATATATTCTTATAGAATTGTATATATTAGAGAACCATTAATATAACAAATTTTAATTCGTTTTTTTATATAATAATTATTTTATACCATGATCAATAACTAAACTACGTGAACCAATTAAACTTTATCGTATAATAATGCAAATTGAAAAGGAAGTCAACAGCTGGACCAGATATTGGATTGCATATTGTAGAAGTACTTAATAGCAATTGAAATAGCACCAATATGTGCACTGATAGTCTATCGATTTCCATATATACTTTACTCATATACTATTACGGCTATTATTATTTTAATAATAAATAATTCAATTTGAGAAGATAAACTTATACGGTGCGCCCTAGTGATTTGTGGTGTGCCTGGTATTGAGTGATTTGTTCCTTTGTCGTGAGAGAAGACATCGTGAAAGCAAACATTGACTAGATGGATTGTGCGTTTGAGGAAGCAAATTGTGGTGTACACGGGATTTTCTCTGTGCCCGAAAATCGGCTATTTATTTATAGAAGGAAAATGGAATAGTAAGAAATTGGTGTGTTTGTTTGAGTGTTGAGGTAAATATCTGGATCACCTCGCATTAGGACCAAATATTCAATGAGCATAATTGAATTTCTAAAGAATCACTTAAAAATTAACAAACTAAAGAAAAACAAACTCATAAATATGCAAAGTTTGAATAGCTAAAATGTACATATTGTGCGCGGAATAATGGATATGAGAAATAAATATAGGGCTTCGCAGGGCTTGTACATTGAGAGTGATCGTATACTATATAGGTAAAGCATAATATTGATGTGATGTGTGTAAGAAACCATATCATTGTAAAACATAATATATGCGGGATTCATATATTTATGGGCCGATACTGCCGTATAATAGACCAATGTTATGGCAATGTTATATTACGCAGCATTTTTCATATAAAGTGGTACTAAAAACTGTTAAAATGCTACAGTAGAACCTCGTTTATCCGGATCTCACTTATACGGATTAGCGATTTTCCAGACTACCAGCCGCGACTAATTTTAATGTATGTACTTAGCAACAATTCGCATTTTTGCGTGATTAATGCTGCAGTTTAGTATATGTATATGTAATGTAATCTAAAAAAAAATATAAGAAAGTTTTAATTTATTAATAAACATTATTTTTGATATTTATGTATGTATTTGTTATTTTTAATAGATAAACAACATTATTCTTTATACATTCGATTATCCGGATGCCTATCGATAGCAAATAGTCCGGTTAATCGAGGTTCTATTGTATATGATTTGTTAGTTTGGTTTTTGAATGGTAATCGTAGCAAAATAGTTATACTGATAAAAGTAACTAAGGATACAATTTATATTTAACCAACGGATTTTTCGCTCGAATATTCAATATTGAATCTCTAACATGTACCCAAACATTTATTATAAAAAAATAAAGGAACAAACGTTTTGAGTATAATACCAAATCTCACAGAAACTCAGAGTGGAAATATATAAGTGTGTGTGTGTGTAATTTCACACGTGTTACTAAATACATATAAAAATACTTTATTTTACCATCATTCTGCATTTGGGGGCATTGCATGTATTGTGTTTCTTGCCGATAGCGTTGAGGCATTATCCTTTGTCTTTCAGATATTATATTATATTGATCAAAAGTAACACCCTCCATGGACTAAAAGAAAGAAATAAATAATATTAAATATCAAACGGTAGAACATTTTCACAAAAATAATAATCTTTTTATTAAAGTCATTTCATTCATTTTTCATCAATTAATACTTAATATTGCCAATGTAAACCTTTACCTCATAAGAAAAGGACTTTATCTAATAATAAAAATATAAAGTCTGTCAATATTTAGAGAAACAATCATAATGATATATGAAAGTTCACTTATAATTTTGTAAAATAATATCTTATCTATAACAAATTGAACTCCAATTTTTTATAGAATATTTGATATTATGATTCTCATTTATATAGATAATAAAATTAATTAATTTTTGATTCATAAATATTTTTTACATTCCAGGGATATGGAATGTTCCCCTTTTCGCGAACTTGGAATCATTCTTTTTAATAAACACTGACCGAAAATCAAATTGAATATTAATTAAAAATGTAATGTAATTGAAATACCTCAAGCTAAAGATGTTTTCTGCAGCGAGGACATAGAAAGACAGCAATAGTAAACATTTATAGGTACAGGTGTTATCAATCATAATAATTTAATAGAATATATAAATGATTTTTGGTAAATGTTTTCAATTATTCAAAGATCCTGATGAGGAGGACATTTTATATTCCAGAATTGTAGTAAATATATACAGATAAAAAAATGCATTATTACCTCACAAAAATCAAATTTATAATATACATACACACACACACACACATATATATATATATATGATGATAGTTTTGTCGACGTTGATACATGATACAAGATTAAATAACAAAATTATTTATTCCATTAAACGTTTCGATACTTGATGTGTGTCATCATTCAGTAATTTAAAAAACATATTACATATTACAAGTTGATAATAAATATAAATATATAAAAAGTAGAAAATTATACATACCAAACCAGGAAAAACAACCGAAAAAATTAATTATGATGTAAAATTGATTGAACACTAAATTTGTATAAAATAATAATATACTATTATATTAAAAAACGAGAAATTGAAGGAGCACATATTGCCCTTCTATATTTTATGTTATTAATAGCGGTGCATTATGGACACTGCTCAAGGTTACACTACACTTGCTTTGTAACCTTGATCAGTGTCCATAATACACCGCTATTAATAACATAAAATGTAGGAGGGCAATATGTGCTCCTTCAATTTCTCGATTTTTAATATAATTTGACGATTGGGCTGCAAAAATTCACATATATATATATATATATATATATATATATATGTGCATTGATACTACATAATTTTCAATTATCCTACCTTATTCGTTTTCCACGAACTTTGCATGACATCTTCCTCGCATTGAAAGTCGAAGTCGACTTCAGACAAACAGTATTTGCAGCACAATCTGCTCCAGAGTCGTGTGAAACCGTTAGCCAGAAGGGTTCCGACTGATGATAAACATATTAAAGCTAATGGTACCCCGAACAATGCATATAATATAGTGCACAATCTGCCATTCGTCGTACTTGGGGACATTGTTCCATATCCTGCAAATTTATTAATGATATAGAAAAAATTCATTAATAGATTTTTAAATAGTTCCTGCATTATAAATCAAATTCTTTAATTCTTGAAACCTGATATGTTTTCAATTATATACAGGTAAAACAATCATTGCAAGTGAATTACCAATTCAGATGAGTCTTATGACAGACAGAAGTTGATATCTTATTTTCAGCAGTAGGCTGAATTTTAAAAATTTTACAACTGTTTGCAAAGAAAACTATCAAAATATATAACTTCTCAACGGCCAAAAAGATTATCAAAATATAAATATATATTGTCTAATATGTATAATAAAGTTTTTGTCTTAGATATCTATTATTCATATAGTTCTGAACAAGTAAACTGTATGCATTAAGCTAATTGCAAAACTTATAAATGTGAGGATTGAGTCTCTTAATGGAACTATATATATTTGTAGCAGATTAAATAACAGTTGGCAATTATATAAATCTGTTATTTTTATCTGTTATGTTTATTTATCTATGAACATGATTATAATGTAAAATTTATTTTTTGTGGTTAATGTATTTTTTAATTTTAATACTAAATAATTGAATTTATTTCAAAATATAACTAGTGGTGCATGCATCGTGCCTTAAGGCAAATTGCTGGAACTTTCCGTCCCAAAATTAAATATTCGAGAAACAATAATATATATAATTATAAATATTAATAAATGATTATTAACAATTGTTTAATATATTTTCAAATAGATATTTATAATTACTATACATTTTATCGTTTATATTGATCGTATCGCATATAACACTTGAGAATGTTTACGCCGCGAATGAATCCATCTGAGGATATATGTATTTCTTAAACTGAATTGTAAATTCAAAATTTATATTTAATGTATAAAACTTCATGTTTTTAAAAATTTTGAAAAAACATTTTTCTGCAAATTTTGTTTGAATTTTGAAAAATTTTAAACAAAATTAGTATTCATTTTTGAAATTTTTATAAAATATCTGATAATTTGATGTGCATGTATCTAATGATTATTTTTAACCGCCAAAGATTTTTTTTTTGACTTTTTTCTCTGTAACTCCAAAATTGATACACCTGCCTTTCCAAAAATTTAATCAGTTTTTTGATTCCTCAAAATAAGTAAAATGTTTAATTAAATTACAATATTTGGCACTTTTTTCCCCGTATATATGAATCGAATGTTTTTTGAATTATTCAAATCGGTTGATCCGTGTTCACGAAATAGTGGACAAAAATTGTATCCAAACCTACATACACACACACACACATACATCCATTTTTTCTGAGGTATGCAAAATGCTCAGAAACTTCTAAAACGTAAAGATATACTAAAGTTTACATTTTCGGAAAGTTAAAATTTAATGTGATTTAGTAACAGAATTTTTTTTGTAAATTTTGCATATATTTAAAAATTGATATGTTCTTGTACTTTGATTATCTTCATTTCAAAGTTCACATTAAACTCAATTAACTTCAAACGTACAATAAATATACTTTACTAAAAATTCAAAATCAATCGTTTATAAACTCCTTAGAAACAATAAGAATCAAGTGTAAATATAACAAGTGTGCATAAATTCTATTTTAACAAGCAAAGTTAAACGAAGTCAGTTTTGCGATTATTGCAAACATTTTAGATTAATTTCCTATTCCTTAGCAGTAACTAAGGATACTCACAGAAATTAATATTAATTTTGACTAGATCTTTAGTATTCATATATAGTGAATAATTAAATTATATTGTGTTTCTAGATATTTGAGAATTTTTTCTATATCTCTCAGCATAAACAATTTCAAATTCATTTTTATTAAGTAAAAATTCAAAACTGGATTTTTTTCAAATTAAAAAAACTTAAATTAGTTTAATTAAATTTATTAATTATTTATAACTTAATATTAACTTATATTCTTATGGAGCGGAAAATCAATGAATTTCGATTAAGACACCAAGGTCTACATAAATAGTTATTACAGTTATGTTTAAACCGAAAACAGGGATTTAACATTTAGCTATTTCAACAAATTATTCTTTTTATATATAATTTATAAAATCTATTTTACCAATCGTGGTGACCACCGTGATGCTGTACAACAAGGCCCTGCTGAACGACCATTGCACCTGTGGAGCAGTTTTCAAATGCTGCTCGTCGTTAATATTATTACTTCCGCCATTACTTCCGGATTCCGTGCGTCGTCCCACAGCCTTCAGCACAGACTGTTCGAAGCGCATCAATTGAAATTGCACCAAACTAGTCCAATTGCGCTCGTATAGCACGTTCAAACGTTCTGAAATGGTGAAATAAACAATTTGATATTTATTTGAAACATATACACATTTATATATAATAATATAACCACGCACGCGGAAATACTGAACATGTATATGTCTGTAAACTGGACCGCTCTGGGAATAGAGAATAGAGTACCGCTTGCAGGACGTTATGGATTAAAAATAAGGAGACAGAAGAATTTAGATGTAGATTTTTCAAGAATAAATGAAAACTGTAGATTTTTTTCAATACAGGACTTTGAAAGAAAAACCACAAAGCGCTGAAGTTTGAGAAGTAAGAAGTGAAATAGAGCAAGGAAGGTATGGAGGCTCTAATTGTCTAATTCCACCGATCAGCTTCTCGCCAGTAATACAAATACAGTAGAACCTCGTTTATGCGGCTTTCGGTTATACGGATTTGCGATTATCCGGACGGTGATTAGATTTTGACAAAGGCAGGTCCAGCCGTTTCGGAGATATAGAGCTAAATGTGCAAAAAATGGCAGTGTTTGAGAGAATCAAGCATCCAATTTGAATGATTGAAAAAACTTTCTGCTTTTTTGAATTATTGAATATTAATTCAGATTTTAATTCTAATTATAGCTAAAGTTCTAAACATCACTTATATACTTCAAATAGATAATTTACTTTAATTTAATTTTATTATTAAATACTTAAAAGGAGAACCCGCGCGTTGCTCGTCTCGGATTTTGATGAAACTTGGCACAATGGTAGATTTGATGCCCAAACTGACTGTGGTAAAATATTAGAGGCCTATGAAAAGCGGTTTAATTATAAAAATTAATTAAAGTTTGCATTGTAGCAGCGCGCGGCATGTATAGCTTGCGATGTTTTTCCTTATCAACAGCAGATTGGCCAAGTGGCTATCGTCGTGGAATTCTAATTTTTGCTCCGGGGTTCAATTCCCGATTCTGATATATATTTTTTTATTTGATATTTATAATTTCACGTGTAAATAATATCAAAATTAATTTTATATTTTTCGCTAAATATTCTATAATAAAGTCCTCCGTAATACTGGTAAATTTTTATTTTGATATTACTTATGAAACTTGCCGCAAAGCATGCCGCGCGCTGCTACAATGCAAACTTTAATTAATTTTTATAATTAAACCGCTTTTCATAGGCCTCTAATATTTTACCACAGTCAGTTTGGGCATCAAATCTACTCCTGTGCCAAGTTTCATCAAAATCCGAGACGAGCAATGCGCGGGTTCTCCTTTTTAGAAATATTAGACAATGTTCTTCATTTTAAATCCGATTGATTAAGTTTTGTTTATTTACTTCTTATAAAATATGAATAATGAAAGTTATATTATTCATAATATTCTATTTGAAAACATTTAATATGTCTCGTACGGGAAGTACCAGCAATTTGCCTTGAAGCACGATGCCATACACCCCACTAATTTATAATGATCTATTTAAAAACCCACAAGGTTCTGTATTAGGACCTTTATTATATCTATTATACACCAATAACCTTAAAGACGCAAAATTAAAGGGAAGATACATATTATATGCAGATGATACTGCCATAGTATATGCAGATAAGGATTAAAAAACTCGAAGATACTATAAACACGGACATGAAAATATACACCGAGTGGCTAACTGAAAATAAACTAACAATTAACATCAATAAAACAAAATACATTAATTTCAAACATAGAAAAAATACCGAGAACACTAAACTAAATATTAAAGTACATAATAGAAAAATAGAAGAAGTGGAAAGCATAAAATACTTAGGACTGATAATAAATGAAAAACTGACATGGACAGAACATATGAACAAAATAAAAATAAAGATAGGAACATTAACAGGGGCATTGAAAAGGATCCACTCGTTCGGCAAAAAAAAATAAATACTAATTCTTAAACGCAAATAATACCTATAATTTTATATGGAATAACAACATGGAGCCAAACAACTAAATCTAAATGGCATACAGAAAATAATGAATAAAGCCATAAAAATAGCATATAATTTTCCACATCACCCACCAAATACTTACAGACAGAAACAAATAATCATTCACTAAATAACATAATCAAAATAGAGAAATGCAAATTAATACACAAAATGAAATTTAACCGCATTAAAACAAGTGCAACAATAGACATAAATCAAGATATACATGAACACTACACTAGACAACACAACAATTTCCACATTGAACACAATAGAAAGAACAATTTGAGAGAAAATGTCATATGGAGTGCTAGCAAAATATATAATGAATTGCCAAACGATATTAGGATGACCAATGATGACAATAAATTTAAAAGAAAAATAAAAAAATACTATAAGGAAATTGAAGACAAAGAAGACTGAAGAGTTAAAGTTCAGAGTTATAAAGATATTTTAATTATATATATAGATATTATATTAATGAACTAGTCAAATAAAATGTATATATTATATGAAAACTGTTTTTCATAATCTCTCATACCAGGCACCTCTGCCTGACTGAGATATGAAAATAATGTATATATGTAAATAAATAAATAAAATTAAAAAAAAAACACATTTGATATTTCTCGTACGGGAAGTTCCAGCAATTTGCCTTAAGGCACAATGCCATACACCCCACTAGTTTATAATCATTTATTTAAAAGCATTTAATATTTCTCGTACAAGAAGTTCCAGCAATTTGCCTTGAGGAACGATGCATTACCCTCTATTTATTGCTTGATAATATTTTAATCTTCTAACATAAATGTATAAAGTGCGCTTATTTGAAGCTAAATCATCCGAATTTATTCAAATGTGTCTTGTTATTGAATTAATTCTAAATTTATTTACAACACAACGAAAATCGCCTCAAAATTAATTATTCTGGAAATTTTCAACGACATACCTAAAACTCGTATTGAATGTAAACGATCAATCGTCATCTTCGCAAATATTTAGAGCATTTTCAGATATTATCTCAACTTTGTCATTTATTCTGATTTATTAAGGCTACATTCCCATATTATATTATATCCAGTTGGCGGAAAGCTGGACGATCACGTAGTCAACGATGTTATATTGCCTCATTGAACTTTGTCTCAATATCTGAATTGGACTCGCTCCGAATATCTTCAGTCTTATAAAACAACGAGGACGCTGCTCAGGGGACTGTTAAATTTCTAAAGAAACTTATTTAATACGGAATATCAAGTCACATGCAGTTACATTTGAACATTTTAGGCATTACGTGGAATAGTTAATAAGATATTATTATATGATAGTTGATAAATCATAATTCTTTAAAAAAATCAAGTTATGGTCTTTGCTACAATGAAGGCTATAATATAAATAAGCAAATCTAATTACAACGTTAATCTTGATAAATCTGGATAATAAATATTACCTATACTCTAGTTAAATAAGAAAAATCGAACTATAAGTATAAAAATGCGTATTATTTTGCTTATATTTGAATTTAAATTCAATTTAAATACAGTTCATGGCTTCGTATTCTATAAAATTTTACTTCACCGAAAATATGGTTCGATTTTTAACTTCCCGTAGAGTAAGTTATTGTAATCGTCCAAAAATCGAAATTGAACATTTTTACATTTCTAGACGTTTTTAAGGTTTCTGAACATTTTGGTATACCTCAGAAAAAATAGATGTGTGTATGTATGTATGGATACCATTTTTCGGTCACGTTTTCGGGCGCGCGGATCAACCGATTTGAATGGTTCAAAAAACATTCGATTCCTATTGATAGGAAGATTTGCTGATTAGTTTTTGGCAAAGGCAGGTCCAGCGGTTACAGAGATAAAGGTCAAAGAGTGCAGAATATCGAAATCGAGTTTTGAGATAAATGAGTATCCGATTTGAATCATCTAAAAAATATTTAATTAGTAATGATTGGGAGAAGTGGTTATTAGTTTTTGGCAAAAGTAGGCCCAGCCATTTCAAAGATACAGAGCTAAATGTTAAAAAATGGCAGTTTTTGAGAGAACTAAGTGGCCGCATTAAATGATTCAAAGAACTTTCTGCTTGTTTTAACAAAATAATTGATTTTGGAAAAAAAAATTTGTTTCAGAATATTTTTTTTTCATTTTTTTTATTTTTTTATTTTTTGTATATCAAAAATAAATAAGATTTTATTTTTAATTCTGACTAAAGTTCTAATATACTTTAAACAAATACTTTCAACTTTGCAATTTAGTTTATATAAATCTTATTATAAATGTTTAAAGTTCTTATAAATATTAGACAATGTTACAGTATTTATTCATAATAATATATTTAAAAATATTCAATATTCCTCGAACATTACGTTACGGGAAGTTCCAGCAATTTGTCTTAAGGCACGATGCCATATATCCCACTAGTTATTATTTATTTTGATTTTAAACTTTTGCCAGAATCAATGCAAAAGTTTGGAGGTTTAAAATAAACTGCATCTGACAGTTAAAACAGTAAAAGTACCTTTAAAAGTAATTACTGAAAAATGTTGGGTTTGATTAATTGAGAGTTCCGTGGTTATTTATCAAGAGTAATGAATTTCAATTAAATATCCTTTTTAAATCAATAGGTACTATAGCCCAAAAATTCTTTTTGCTATATATATATATATATATATATATATACGATATATATATATATATATATATATTGCTCGTATATATATATATATATATTGCTACACATATGTATAATATATATATATATATATATATATATATATATACACATATATATATACACACACATATATATATATATATATATATATATATATATATATATAAACTGACATTTTAACACTTTTTGCTACATATCTCCAAAGGCGCTGGACCTGTCTTTGTCAAAAACTAATCAGACGTCTCCTCATCACTAGGAACCATTCAAATCGGATAATCCGTACGCACGAAATCGTTGACGAAAAATTATCTATTATCTTCACACATACACACACTTTTACTTTATCTGAAGTATGCCAAAATGCTCAGAAATCTCTGAAACGTGAACTACTTTACGAGACCTTTA